TCAAGCAGCTGTGGACGGAATCACCACGACGTTCCATGTGCCGTGGCGTACAGAACAGCGTACTCAACGATGGTCCTCGAGTTCACGCTTCGGACCCTGCGGTGAACTACACAACTGGACACGATAACATGCATGAATGGTCGACATCAACACCGAGCAAAACTGGATCGTGGTGGCGCGGCGAGTGTGTGCAAGCTGTGGATGTGCGTGTACCATCCGGCTCATTTGGCCCGGTAGACAATGCACCACCATCACAATTTGATTGCTCCTGGTCCGGTTCTGAGACAATTTGGCAGGGACTAATCCTTCGTAGGCTGCGATTCAAGGTTCGCAGATACCATGATACGTGCAGTTGAATGCGTTCTCGACAATGCTCGAGACACCTGCAAGTTCATGCGCCTGGGCGGTGTGGCGATAACTGGCACAACGAGCACAACAATCACGTCGAAATTGCTTACACCGATGGACGGTATGATGCATAAACCGATCGAACAAGGAAAACCTTAAGCCCACGGACTCCACCCGTGAAAAATGCGACCCAAAATGTTTGGCGCAGTTGCCAATTGTATCAAGGCTTTGGCTTGGTCGACGGGAGACAGGATCGTGTGGGGGAGCACGTCAGGGGCTGGGAGCGACGATTGCAATGGCTTCAGCACCGCTGCCACATGTGGATTCAGCGCCAGTTCGTCGATCAAAATGTGCACGGCATGCTCGCCGCGGAGTTTCCGCCGCGCCAACTCTATTTTCATCTGAGGCATCCACATTGACGCGGTCTCTGTCATGTCGAGCTGCTCCGTCTTCTTCTTCTTCGACTGGGTCTGCCATTCCAACAGCGGTTCGTTCAAAAACACGTGCATGACGCTGTCAATGCGCTGTTGTTGTCCGCGCAGCGCATCCAACACGGCTGCGAGATCTTGCTGGAGAAGGAGTTTGGCGACGTGGGGCTGCAGCACCCCTTGCAACTGCTGTGTGTATCGAAATGGAACGAGTTCGGGGACTGGGAGGAGACTCGCGCCGGCGCCAAAACTAATGCCGAAATCTATCCCCACCACCGCTCCCGTGCGTTGGTCCAACAAAAAGTTGTCCAAATGACGGTCGCCAATGCCTAGCACGTACGAGCACCCGTTGAACGCGGCGAGCGACGTCCCAAAGCAATCGCGCAACTGGAAAAACGCTTGGGTCGTTTTCGCCATGTGGACAAGTCGTCGGCGCAGCAAATCTGACGGCACGAGAGCTTGCGCTTGGACCAACGTGGCGACGACGGCGGGTGTAGGTGCGGTCGCGATCTTGTGGCCGTACGTTTTGCCCTTTTGCTTGGTCCAAAAGCCTTCGTACAATTGGCCAGGTGGACTCTGCAGCAGATTCGTCTTCTTCGTGGACGTCGCAAGTTCCTCTTCCACAACGGTCTTGAGCGTAGTTGTGTGGCCAAGCCATTCCACGAGGCCAATGGTGGTCGTCATCGGAACAACCTACGCCACAAATCGACAAGGAAAAAATGGCTACACACGACTTACGTTGTACGTCCGCGAGGACAACCGTCGGCGACTGCACTGTGTATGCTGTTCTAAGATCCCATTCATGATGCCAAACAGTTGTTCAATGCGCTGATCCAGCCGCAAATCTTCCCCACCCTGGATAAATCAACATTGGCCCTCGTTGGCAACTACACGGGAAATGTACCTTGACCAAAAACACATACGTGCGTTCATCCGACGAGTGAAATACGATTCGCTTGGGTAATTGTTTGGACGGCAGCACCGTCAGTTGTGGTTCGCAGCTCAAAATGTACGAATGGGTGGCCGGGTCGGGCTTGTCCCACCCTAGAATTTCAACGGTGAATCGAGGGGCGACTGGATATCGGATGCGTACGCTTGGTGTATTGCCCAGGGAGCTCAATTCGTATTTTTACAGGGTCCAGGTGGGCCAGCCAGTCGGAAAAGTCGACGAGCTTGGCCTTCCATTGGCGATCGATGCCGTACTTTCCAGGCATGACTTGAAAAGTCTGGCTCAACCAGCCCCGTGCCGTGTGGAGTGTTGTCGTGGTCGTCAACTGGCCGTCTTTGCCCAGCATTCCCTCGAGATGTTTTCGATGTTGCTGCATCCACTGGCGATTGTATCGTCCAATTTGGTTGCCCAGCACTTTGGCTGGATCATCCCAGAGCTTCGACAGGGTATCCGCGACGATGGTAGCGACTTGTGCCTTGGGCTTTGCGTCGACCACGTCGGTCAGGTACCGGAGCGCTTCCTTCAGACGAATCTCGGGGTGATGGAGCCTGTCGATTCGACACTATGGCTCGTCCTCACAAGAACATGAGTGGAAAGCTTACCCTTCTAACGCCGCAACGAATTGATCCAGCGACGTGTCCTGCAACAACGCAGCCAATCGATGGAAGCGAGGGTTGGTCGCCATGCCTGGAATCGACGCACTGGACAATCGAAAGTCGTAGTACAACGCTCTGCCATACTCGGCGGCCATCTATCGACGACGATAACCAACGGCATTCGCTAGTCACGTACCTTCTCCAACAAATTCAAGACCCAGTCGTTAAACGGTGACGAGTGTATATCCAAGAGCGCCATGATCTGCGCCGACCAGTGTAGGCACGTCCATAGCGGAACACGCTGCATTCTAGTGTCCAATATCGGTAACAGCTTGGCTGGGGCGTCGCGAACGAGGCCAAGCACACGTGGAAAGTACGCGGCGCACGTCTTGTTTGCTTGAGCCATGCCCCACAGCACAGTCTCAACAAATGCTTGGGCAAATGGGCCGCTAGGGCACTTGTCGTTGGCCGCGCGCTCGATGCACTTGTCTAGGTACTCGATATACATGACGTGCATGCTTGTCATGGCCGTGGCCCTGGCCGTTTGAAACTCGAAAATCTCCAGGGCACTGGTTTCGAGCGTTGCGCCAAGCGACGCGCTTCCAAACTCGCGATGAAAAGCCGACGCTTCCATGAGAGCGCGCGCCTGCCATCCGTAGATTTCTGTCTGGGTAGCGGCAGGCATGGTCGGGATGAACGCGATAACTTCTTCGTTGTCAAAGAGGCGATTCAGCGCCCCGTAGTAGTTGGAGACTTGTGTCAGCACCTTTTCCTTGGCGTCGCCTTCTAGCGTCGAGACGACTTGCAGTTGTCGGCTCGCGAGCTTTGAAACTTGGGCCGAGTACACTTGTACCATGTGCAGCGTCAATTTCGGCAAGTGGGCTTGCATACATAACGTTCGGTAGTCGGCTAAGAGTCTTCCTGCCAGGGCCAACACGTTCGAAGCTACAGCTGCTTCCGCGTACGACAGAATGGTCTAGGTATACCAGATTGAGCCACGTAGGAAGCCTAGCGCAACGATGACTGGAATGGAACACGCACATGCACTCGGATCGACGATATGTTGTCCTCGATACTTTGGGTAGACGATTGGTTGTTGGCGATGACCAGCGTTTCATAGCCAACGTTTCGAATCAAGTAGTACATGGACCACGCGTCGAGAGGGTCCTCTTGCACCAGTGGCGCAATGGGCTTCCACTTTTCGACGCACGACTTGGCCCCGTGGTGTTGTTTGGCCACAGCCAACACATCATCGAGAAACACCATATTAGGTAGTCGCAAGAGTTGGCGGTATTGGTGGGAGGCAGGCATGCTGGTCCATTGATGCAAGCACCCAGCGTAAAACTCTTCGACGGCCGCGCGCGCTTGGCTCTGTTGGTCCAGCTGGATATACGTGCTAGCCATGAGGTCTGGAAATCGCGTCATTAGATACTGGAGCTTGTCGTGGGGTTGGTTCTGGAGTGTGCTATTGACGAACAAGGCCAACATCGACGTGTTGTGCGTTGCAAGGCACGCCTGGAGAAAGTATCCCATGTGTTTTTCTTGGAATGGCTCGTGGTGGTGCCACAATTGATCTGGGTCGACGTCTTGTAGAAGCGAGTCCCAACGGTTGAGCTTGGCGAGGCAATGAAATTGTTCCGACTTCCACCTCTGTCGCTCCAGAATCGACATGCCGTGGTGGTCATCGTCGGTCACAAGAGCGGCATACTTGGCTTCGGCGTCGTTGTAATACTGCAGAGCCGCAATCAAGTCGCCTTGCAGCTGCGCCTCGACAGCCATCGTCGCTTCAGGCACTTTGCTCTGGTCGTTGGCCAGCGCAAGCAAGTACGGTTCATTCTGGACCGCTTGGAGAATATGGTACAACTGGTTCCACGCGAGCGCCGCCACTTGGGCGTCGGACGACTTGATCAAGATTTCCTCGAGGATGCGCTGGCCCGAGGCCAGATTTCGACTTGAGATGCTCGATGTGCCCACGATGTCTGGTGCCAACAACAAAGTCGACGGGTGTTGCCGTAATAATGTTATGTATGCTTGATGGAGAGCCGCGACGAACAACGTGTTGCCGTGTGACAGTTGCAAGAGCGACTCCAGCTGGTTAAATACCTGCGCTTGGGTCTCACTGGGCAGCGTCGGGAGTACTGCGGCGAGCATGGCGGAAAAGAGCGCGATCGCCGTGGCAGAGTGGAGCGACGCCACGACGAGAAGGGGACGCACGAAGTCCATGCGTGGAATTTGAATGTCTGGGAGCTCGCCGACGCGATACGCGCGAAAGAGACTCACGGTCTCCCCTTTAGACTTCTCCTGTTGCAGGCGCGCCAGCTCGTGGCGCTTTGTCCGGCTCGCTCGATCTTGAAAAAACGATTTCGTGCGGCTCGCATCGTCCGACGTTGAATCGTTGGAGGTTGTCGACGCTCTTTTGTAAAACCGGACTCGTGGAGGAACTGCGCCTGCAATCATAAAGTCGTGGGTGTGAGCCGTGAGAAACGAAGCACAGTACCATACGAACTGGGTTGTAAAGTTGACGTGGCGGAGGGCCCTCCCTGACTGGATAAAAGGTGCTGCGACTGCGTTTGCGACCACAATCGATCCTGAGTCGCCTTGACTAACCCCGGTACAAGCTGTTGTTGGCTTTGGAGCGCCATGGCATCTTGGGAAAACAGCGGTGTCAGGATGTTTTGAGTGCGTCGCTCCCATGACGTATCGATCTGCACCGAATCAAAATGGCACGTTGCGGACAGTGGCGTGCTGAACAGGAGAGACGAGTTGTCGGGGGTTGACGCACCAAGGGCTAGCCATAGCGTCGGTGCATACCGCACCCATTCTTCGGTTGTATCGCAATGATAAAGCTGCCCAAAGAGCGCCAGGAGACGATGGTCGCAAGACTGCGGAAGGTGCTTTTCCCAGAACGCTCCCGCTTTGTCGCGAATGGTCCCGTTCGTGTCTGTGAGCGCCTTGAGAAGAATGCGATGGACACTGGGAACGTCCGCTTTGTCCGTGGCCAAAAGAAAGTCGAGCACTTTCATCTGGCATGCGTCCGACTCGAACGCGATTGTGACAGCACCGTCTCCTTCCAGCAACGTGAGCTGCAAGTCGGGGGCGAGTGACGGCCAAAGTTTGGCCAGCACATCCAAGAGGCGCCCGGTCACGGTGGGGTTGTTGTGGATTAACAGGCGAGGCATATGCACCCGCAACAAGCGAAACAATGTCGTGGCATCGATGTCACACGCAAAGAAAATGTCGAGAAAGTGCAGCGACAGTGTATCTTGAATCAAGATCCTCGGCAAGATGGACACGAGGCGATTGACCACAGAGCCCGTGACGATGGCGGGGTAGTGGATTGCGACCTGCTTCAGGCTTACGAGGAAGCGGTCGGGTTTGTCGAGCTGAAAGAACTCGTGCAGCTGCGCATCCAGCCTCGATTCGAACGACGTCGAGTGCATGTGTTTCAAGACGAGTCCCGCCAAGTCGGCAGCCAATTGCGGCGTCGACTTATGCGAAGACGAAACCCGCGCCAACACGGCCGATTCCAACTTGCTGGACGCGTTCCGCAGGGAGTATTCAAACCAGGAAACCGGAGCAGCTGCATCGAATGCCAGGTTGACCAACATGGCGGTGATTTGCATACCGGCCACGTGGCGCGAAGTATCGGGCAGCGCTTCGCCCTCCGTGCTAACCATTCCCACGACGATGTCCATGTCGAGAAAACGGCACTGCGACGGAAACCGAGTGACAAACGCTTCAATCAAGTACAAATTGTCGCGCAAGATTACGGTCGACGTGCTTGGCGCGACACAAATGAGATGGTTCACGAATCGGGACAAGTCGTCGGCAACTGAGTCCAAGGACCACGTGTCTAGTAACAAATGGCACACGTCCCGCAGGAGGTAATGGAATTCGTCTAGCTTGGGCACGACCAGCGTGAGTTCGATCAGAGGGCTGACAAACTTGGCAGCGAACGGCGCAAACAGCGCCGGTCGATTCAATACGACTTTACACAGAAACAAACGGACGGCTGTCGACGAGTGCGTCGTGAGGTTGAACCACACCTTGTCCATCCAACCTGGCATCGCCGTGCTCGTCCACTGCGGTTGAAACAGCCGCTCCATGTGCTTGATCGTTTGCATGAGCGGAAGCATGCACGGGTGTGAGTTGAGGACATCCAATTCAAGTGCATCGTCGTCGTCTGCTTCCGTGCTGTCGACGGGTGCACTACCCAACGAGTCGTCGTCACCACCGTTGTGGTTGTCGTCGAGCGGGGCGACGCTTTGACTGAGGCTACTGCCCTCCAAGAACTGCGTGGAAATGTCGATGCGTTTGAATAAAGGCGAAAGGCGGCTGTGCCGTCGGGACGTCGTCGACAAGTATCGAGTGGGAAACGCAGCTGTCTCCGCGTCAAACGAGTATTCATGGCGAGCATCTTCGTCGCCGAGCATGATGTTGGGCCATATTGCATCGGCGAACAGCAGCTGTGTGTAAAATTTTTCCTGCGTTTGGGTCTTTCGCACGGTGGTAAGGAGGCATCGAAACGCCGCCATGGCGACGGGACGGTCGGCACTCGAGCATTTCTGACTTGCGGCTTTGCACAAGCGCATGGTGAGCTCGTTCCCTTTGGCCGGGGCCCCTGCATACACGGGATTCACTGCCTGGCGAATGGTGTCTCCGGCAATGCAGTTGTACAGGAGTTCCAGCATTCCAAACGCCGTCACGACAAATTGAGTCGGGGATGCCTCACTCGTCACGACAGTCATCACGTACTGGACGACGGGGATACGGGAATACGTGGACGTGTACAGCGCTACGACGGCAGGTTCGTCCATCCGATGCACGAGCGGCACAAACAATTGTCGCAGAAGTGTTGTTCGGACGTGGTCCGTCTGAGAGAGCGAAAAGAGGATGGCCACGATGTCCATACAGACGGATGAAATCCGGGGAACTGGCACGTCTTCGCAAAACGCTTCAAACATGGCGTTGATTTTGGCAAAGAACGCGTGCCGGCTCTTCTCGTTGAGGCTGCGAAACAGCGTCTTCAACAGCCCAATGTGCCCGCTCTGAGCAAGCATGGCCAAGTACGTTTGGAATAGCAAGGCAAACTTTTCAAAGTCCAGCGACCCCACCGCGACATCCGACGACGTTACGGGGAAATCATGCACCACGACGTGGCTGACGGCGTCCTCTAGTGGTGGGCCAAACTCAGCTGCGTCTACTTGAAGCAGCACCGGGATCAACTCCAACGCGGCCACTTTTACCGCCACGGATGTCGACGTCGCGTTGTCGCAAAGCAGTCGTTTGATTCCCCATGCACACTCTGCCAGCGACACCGTCGACGGATCGCGCATCGTTTGCAATAGATGAAGCAGCGTTTTCAACAAGAGCGCCTGTTCGGCGGCTGCCGTCGCGTTTAATACAAACGCTGCAAACGGACCGATGCACGGGGCGAGGGCTGCATCGTGCCCACGCTTGGGCGAGAGGTCGAGCACGTAGCGCAACGTGTGCACAAACCCGTGATGGGTTCGAATGTGATCCAATAAACCACGGACAACGCGGAGCCAGATCTCATCGTTGTCTTTGATTGCCTTGTCGAACGTGGCGGAAAAGAGCGCGTACTGGTCTGGTGTAGGCTGCAAAATGAATGCAACAATGTCCCAACCCAGCGCAATCGCTGTCTACAAAGGCATGCACGGTCCTCGTCAGCTCATCCATCCAGATAACATCGGATGCCACAACGTGCCTCGATCGCGGTGTGGGCCACTTGGACCTCGACAGGGGTCATCGTTGCACTCTTCTTCTTGGATACCGCCAAGCGAGCGAAATCGTCAGCGATCTGACGACGACACGGTGCATCGCTCTCCCAGAAATTGATCTTGTCCAGCTACCAGGCAACCCCCAGTGGATGTGACATGCAATTGCATGAACATGATAGAATCGGGAGTACCAATTGATACGTCGTGCAAAGGCGCTGTGCCAGGTCGGAATCCATAAAGAACAGCAATGCTCGGTCGTAGACTGGGTTGTCCATCAAGTGCTTTGCCACGACCGTTCGAAGTGGCAGCTGAGAATGTTGCAACAATGCTTTGCACACGCGCAACCACGTGTCGCTTGCGTCGGGAGCGGACAGCTCGAGGAAGTGGACTACTGTGGGGTCCAGTCGAGCGAGGACGACCAAGTCAAAGAATCGTTCGCTCAACACGTTGGACGCCATGACTTGATGGTGGAGCATGGGAACAGCGACTGGGTCATCCATGGCGAGAGTCACAAGTTTGCATACGCCGAGGAACGCCCGATTTCTCGCCAACGATAGCGAGTCGTTGGAGCACTCGACAAAGTGCTTTGCTGCCACAAGAACTCGATGGCAACCATCGATCGGATCGTCGTCGTGCGTGCGCTTGCCGGTACGAGCACCCAAGTCAAAGAGGACTGCATCTCCAATCAAGCCGGCGTTTCCAATCGTCGGAGCGCACGCCCACACAATGCACTCTGTTGACGCCGCGATCGTGTTGTACCACATCTGGCACATGTCTGACTCGAACGCGAGACTGGTCAAGTGGTGCGGGGCGAAAATGTCTTGCAGCTGCGAGACCGAGTGGTTCTTTTGGAATTGTTTCAGCCACTCTCGGCACGAGCCCGTCCGGTTGACCATGCGCGAGAACTGCACAAACAAGTGCAAGCACTGCGACCGAAATGTTGGGGCCGAACTCGCAATGTTGGCAAACAACCACGTTGTAAACTTGTCCAGATTCAAGCATTCGGGTCCCCCGAGCTCGATACGTGCGTCGTTGTCGTGTTGCAAGTCTGGCGCACGCTTCATGACGATCTTCTCCAAGTGGCCCAACGCTTGCACTAGAGGTAGTACGGCTATTGCGTTGGGCTCCTCGGGCTTTAGCGCGACTAGTAGATACTTGGCAATCGACAGGGCGTACACATTGACCAACTCGTCGTCTTCTCGAAATTCCCTGTACATGTTATTGATAGCCATTCCGACACCCAGGCGGCATGGCAGAGATGGATGACTGCACAGGCCAAACAACCGCTCAAAGAGAGAATGGGCCGAAAAGCACGTGCTTTCAGGCTGTTTGCTGGCATACTTGAGAAACGTTGTGATTGATTGAGCTGCCAAGTCGCGCACCCCGCCGCTGTCCACTCGCGACAGGCCGTCAATGAGCGCATCCAGGAATGCCTGCGCCTCAAACGGATATTGCGTCGCCACGCCGCTAAACCAACGAAGAAGCTGCGCCAATAGTGGAGCAAAGAGCGATCGAATGATCGTGTCAGCGTCTGCGGCAAGCTGCAGCAACGATGGAAACACAAGGTGCCAGTGGTCAAAGTAGATAGACTTTTCTGTCGCCTGCGCCTTGGATCGGGGAAGCGTTGCAGTCTTGCCGCACAGGTACAGAACGATCGCATGGTAGGCTTCACCTGCGGCCGATTTCACGGTGCGGTCGATGCTCGTGGCGGCAAGGTCTTTCATCTGGTACAACAACGGTTCGATTGAAATGTCGACGTGAACGCTGTCCACTGCCAACGGAAAATCGAGTGGAGCGGGGATCGCTATATCGGGCGACGTTTCCTGGACCACATAGCGGCAATACCCACCCAACGACCCCAACAGTCGAAGCACTTGGATCTGGAATGAAGCAGATTGGTTTGTCGCGTCCAAGTACGGAGCGACAAGGGGGAGCAGGTCGGGGTAGAGAGGGGCCAACATGTCCGGCTGGTTCACTCGCCAGAGGTCTAGGGCTTCGATGGCGGCGACCGCGGTTGTGTGGTGCGACACCCCAAGGATCAAGGCCTGCTTCAGAGCTGGCACGATTGTCGAAATGTCTACCATCGTCGTCGGTGCTGCCAGGACGAAGAGCGACGTTGCGATCAAGAGCTCGTCGTGGTACTGCTGCATCGCATTGGACACGTCCACAACAAACTGGATGAAATCCTCGGCCAACGGGTCTGGAAGCGACGGTGCGGCGGAGAGCATGCGGGACATGACCGTCGCCAAGCGATAAAACGCCGACACGAGCGGCAAAGCACGCGCTTTGGAGAGAATCTGCTGCAAGTACAACGGAATCTACACGATGCCAGGCATCCAAACTGAGTCCACAACAAGTCAACACACGAGAACGGCGTGTGTGTGCCTACCCATGCATGAAAGTATCGTTCGACGGAAGGGGCCCACCGTTCAACAAATTCAGTGGTGTTGAGAATGATAGTGTGGTCTCGCGCGACGACCGGCTGCGTGGTTCCATTAGCTCGAAAAGTTGCTCACGGGTCGTACAGCGTATTCCGACGCGGACGTCAAGTCGTTGGCACGATCGATCTTGAGCTCGTAGCGCAGGTCCAACCGATCAAGGATGGACAACGTCACATCCGCCATCGCATTGACAAAACGTTGTTGTAAAGTAGGATCGTGCATTCGCATGAAGCACCCCCGCCAGAGCACCTCGTATTCAAAGAGCAGGCGGGACTCGGGAAGGCCCGTCTCGGGATGAAACATCATGTCCTACGTCAAATTTGAAGACCATTCATGTGCCGTCGACGCAAGCAAGATGCGACGCATGCATACAGATTCAGATGGATTCACGCGGGTCGACACGGTCAGAAACATGCCGTGCTGCACGATTCGCTTCAACACGTCCGCCGCTGAATCGGAGTAAAATGATTCGGCAATCGCAACGAATGCGACCTCGGCTTGGTACTTGACGTAGATTGCACTAGCAGGATACGCGTCCAAGATGCGGCCGACCAATTCGACGGCGAAATTCTGCACAACACTGTCGTGGCGCTCCATCTACGCAACGTACAGCGTCATCCGCGGTGGCCATTCAGGACGTTGCAACGTGCAGATGGAGGTCACCTTTTGAATGAACCGCGCGAAGCATGTCGTGTAGCGGCACAGCAGCATCCACTTGACACGCTTCCCGTCTCGGACAGCCATGAGGTCCTCGCCGTACTTGATCAGCCTGGTGCAGATCTTGGCGAGCGCGTCGTTGGTAAGAAAGGCCGGCACGATCGAGGCAAAGTTGCCGAGCCCGGCCAGTGCGACCGATGCCTTGTCGTCGGCCAGTTTATCTGTCACGCATGACAGGAATTCCTTGAGAAATCGGTTGAATGTTTTCTTGTGCGTGGGGACGTCTGCGACTAAACCGTGCGCGATGACGCTGAACATGGCGTCGAGGCACGCAAACGCGGGCTTTCGAATCTACAACCACTATCACGACGCTAGTCGAGGGGAACTCTTCCTCTGACGGACCTTTTTGTTCGAGCTCGAGCAACAGTAGAGCATGAGGGAGTAAAATTCGTACGGGTTTGCGTCCATGATGTTGTCGGCAAAAATGTCCATGCGCTTGCTTAGCAGCCCAAGGCACGACTTGACAATGGCGAGACGCGAGAGGTTGCCAGACGCCGCCGTGGCCAGCGTCACGTGAATAAACCTGCGACAGTAATCACGATGAATTACAACAGGATCTGAAGGTGGCAGCGTGTAGGAGCATACTGGAACAACGCGTCCCGCTTGGACTTGTCGTAGGTGGTGGCATCCAGCATTTCCGTCAGGCAGACGAAACATCCGCTGATGACTTGCAACTCTAAGTCAAAGGCATCATGAAAGCCAACGGTCTTTGAGTGCGCCTTGGACTACCGACCTGGCGAGCTGTTCGACCCGAATTGTTTCCCCAGAGCAGCGTCAATCCAAAGCTGAACACTGGCTCGGTGACTTGCCATTTCGTCCGGGTACTTGTGAAAGAGACTCCCCAACACGTTCAGCATCACCCCTTTGACACTTTGTGTGCATTTGGAAGAATTGAGCTCGTTCAGGTATCGATCGGGGAGCGTGGTCATCGCCAGACCTGTCGCGGCACCTTTCGGATAGTGCTTGACGACAAATGCAACCAGTTCGCCGGATGCACTCCGCGCCTTGGACGGCAATTGGGATGATACAAGCAAATTGCAGCATGTCTGGGCAATGGATCCGACATGTCCGCCGATGGCATGGCGCAACGCGTCTTGCATGTCCTTGAGGAATGTGCGCAAGTGGTCCAGGGCAACTCCGAGTAACACTCCGAGCGTCGACTTCTTTGTCCCGTGGTCTTGCACTTGTAGGATGTTCAGCAAACTTGGTGTGTGTTGCTGCCCTGGGGTTGTTTGAAACAAGTGGAAACAGCATAGTTCCGCTGTTGCGCGTGACTCAAGCAAACAACGCACTGCACGGCGAAACAATGCCGCGACAAAGCTCTCGATTGTATCCTTGTCCACCTCGACATCCTTCGACGATGCTATGTCGTGCAATTGGCGCAAAGCTCGGTCCATTTGGTTCACATGATGGCTCTTCCCGGTCATGCCGCCGACGACAATTCGCGAACGTTGGGTTGATTCGGCGGTTTGCCAAGTTTATTGTTGATGTTATCCGGAAACCAGACAATTATCCGGATCTTAGCAGTTTCACAACAACATGCAGGAAGGACAGCCGGCAGCGCCACCACAGGGCGTTGGCGGCGTTTTCGGCCGCGATGGGACGCTCGAACGGCGAAATTAGGTGACGATCTTGGACGCTGCTGATTTCGTTTTTCGACGACGGAGCTGGGTAGCTGTCTAGCTTCATGTGCAATCTGCACACGATGGCGCACGAGGCAACTTTGTGAGCTTATTCGACCGAATGGCTCCACGGTTGCCATGCAAGGAAGCGGGCAAATTCTGCCCGTGGAAGAAAACCTGCTCCGTCATGCTGAATTTGGATGCGCTGTGCTCCCAATCCATGGAATGCTCATTATATTCAACGAAGTAAGCCATTCCACGGGATGAAGACCAACAACTACGCACGGGATAACCACGCAGGCGCGAATCATGAGGGAGAGGCATTCGTTGGACGAGAACGGCCATATAAACCAGATTTCGAAGAGTTGAGCGCGTAGAATGCTCGAAACCTCATCGCTTACACAAGACACATTCCCTCGTAGATGTCGACATTCACTTTCGCGCCGCAAGCGCACACCATGCTAGCTGTGAAATTTTGCTTTACAGTTGAGAGATGCACGCCACACATGCCCTTCATCCAAGGTGAATAGACGATGGCCACATGGATGTTGCAAGTCGAGTTAAATATTAAATGTCGCATTCAGCTTTGGGGCCGCCGTAGGTGTCGAGGGTCTTGGACGTAGCGTCCACGCGACGATATTCCATCAAGATGGGTGCTTTCTTCGGGTGCCAAATCGTGCGCTGGATGAACTCGAGCGAATGTTCTTTGCCCAAGGTCTTGTCCTCGCACCGGATTTGAATCTCGCCCAATTCCATCACAACATTCTTCTTGGACAAGAACTTACGCAAACAGATCTTCAGGTCCGACACCTACTCATCAACATCGTCATGTAACAGGATTCCACCGGCCCGCACTCTATTCTTGTCCGGGAGCTCCCAGTAGAACGTGAGGTCTTTGGTTCGCGGCGGAGTTCCCGTGGCGCGGAGGGTGCTATCATTGCGTGTATACGATGACTTTCAAGACGACGACTTGAAACGAGAGCGGGCACACCTCTTTACTGGCCGCATGACCATCTTAACAAGGGCACCACCCATCCGCTTGAACTTGGCTTCCTTGCCATGGGTCACGGTGGATTCGCTCCGAGCTTTGAACTTCAGTTTTTCGTAGAACGCTTCCTCTGCGCACTGCTTCAGACACTTTTCGTCTTGAAGACGGGGAAACGTCAATTCGTACCGTCGGCTTTGTCTTGGGGGTCCAAGTGAGGAAACAGCTTCCGTACGAGACCTTCCATAACGTGGTCTTGGCTACATGGAACGTCACGCGCGTCGTCCGGAGCGACCAAGATGAAGGGCGTACACGATCTGAGGAGGTTTCGTCTTGGTCCCGGACAAGGGATACGTCCCGAATTCGAGCTGGCAGATTGGACATTGGTTGCTCACGCCGGACACGATGTACTTGAAGATGCAGCTCTTGCAGACTACGTCGCGAGATCAGTAGGAAAGAACGACCACGACACGGTGTCGACGTACAAGTGTGTATGCACTCACGGATCGTGTAAGGCTGGCGAAAGTACCCATCGCACAGCGTGCACACGAAGTGTGGGTTGAGCTCCGACGTGTTGACGAGGAGCTTGTGCATGGCTGTTGTGGTCGAGTGTTGAATGCCAGCATTTTTCTTTGCCGAGTATCGCGATTTAATTGGTTAAAATACAATATCTTGGTCCAATCGAATTTCAGCACTGAACGACGTGTTGATCGACAGACAAATCCGCGCCAACGACGCCAGCACGTGTTGGTAGCAGCGGTCGACTGCCCGCTGGGATCGCGGCGTTGCCTGTGTGGTCGCTCCAGAGAGATCGAACGCACAGCGCGTAATGGCGTACGTTGAATTACGCGTCTGCAACATACGTCTCCCTTCACCATCGTGACGGACTCGTCTCCAGTTTGCCGTTCCGAGCGTGCCCATGTAGGGACGTTTGTGAGGGGGGCAAACTCATCACTAGAGGTATGCATTTGAATCAATAATAATGGACCTCCTCGCCACCGGAGCAAACGTGCGGTGATGGTTGATTTCGACGGGCGCAGTAGTGGCGGGAGCATTGTACCGGTGAAGGAAACTGTAAATGTCCAGCAGCGGCAGTCACTCCATTGCGACGGGCTTGACCTTCGGTCTCAAACGCATGGAACATGGTGACTTGCCGCTGCAGCATACTTTGGCCACGGAACACGACCGGGTTCACTGTCTCGTCGATGCCAGGATCCTAGTCCGAGCCATGTGCATGGAAGCACCTCGGATTTTCAGGCATTTCGACTCTCCACCGACGAACCGTCTAATGCCGTCCATTCGTCTAATGGAGCAGGCAAGATCGCAGGCACTTTGGGTCAGTGAGCGGCGCGATCGTGTGAAGCGTTTGGGGGAGGCATCCGGCAAAAGGTCGCAGACACCTTGGCCTGCTGTTCCACAAACAGAATGCGTTTGTGGCTCCATAAAGATGAGTGAACAAGAAACGAAGTAAGCGCGCGTCGCGGGATATGATGGTAGTCCTGTTGCGTGCAACATGCACGAGCTCACATGCTAGAGCTGAGTCCGTTGAAGTCGATGGTTGTTGCGGCCTTTGGATCTCATACCTCATACAGATTCTCATCGTACAAGATCCATTGCAAGGCACCGCACCTTGGCGCCGTCTGGAGTGTCGTGGTGGTTCAATTCACGTGTCGGTGGCAACGGCAGGCGCTTGATTGTCCTGATATCGTCGATCGCGGCCTCGATGTACCACGTTTTGATGTAACGACATTGAAAAACCCGAAAAATTTGCGAATTTCTACGAATTCGACGGAAGTCGGTTGACACTTGGAATCAGCACGTGATCGTTCATTTTCCCTTTTTCCACGCAAGACGAGATGGCTGCGATCAACCTGAGCGAAGGCGAATGGCGCGCCAAGCTGAGCCCGGAACAGTTCCGTGTTTTGAGGCAAAAAGGAACGGAGCGTGCGGGTACAGGAGCTTACAACAAGCACAAAGCCGAAGGCGTGTACACGTGTGCTGGCTGCGACGCCCCACTCTACACATCAGCTCACAAATTCGACTCGGGCTGTGGATGGCCGGCGTTTTTCGACGCCATTCCAGGCGCGATCAAAGCTATCCCGGATGTAGACGGGCACCGCACGGAGATCGTGTGCGCCAACTGCGACGGTCACATGGGCCACGTGTTCCGAGGCGAAGGCTTCAAAACCCCCACGGATGAACGCCACTGCGTCAACTCGGTCTCGATCAACTTTAAGGCCGCTGACAACTGAGCTCCATCTCTCTATCCGTGAGAAGAATTTTTTCTCCTCTTAATTAGCATGATGGAACAACATGCAACTCTGTTAACTCGGAATTTATGTGCACTTGGAACTATCTATACACGCAGGTCTGTTTTCAATCGTTTCGTCGTTTGTTCCTAGCCGTGGTAAGGCTGCGGCCACGGCACCATCATGCAGCAGACTGGGGCCAAAGTGTCATGGCGGTGCCCACCACTTGCAGTCCTGCATACGGCTGGAGCTGCTTCACTGTGCTCTGGCCTCGTTTCCTTGCCGCCAAAAGTGCGTCTCGTCGCTTCGTCGACTCTTCCACACGCTCGTCGACAGCTTCTCGCTTGGATTGCGCCGCCAGTCGCCGCGTGGTCTTGAGGGTTCGCGCAATCGTGGTCGCTCGTTGGGACCGCGAACGCGCCCGGCGTTGGCGCTCCTGGAGAACTTGATACCGACGGCTTTCGGCGTGCAAGTTGATCGTGGCTTGCATGGCAGTCCTTATCGCATTGTCCACGACTTCCGTCGACTGTCGCTCGAGACGTGTGAGAACCACCCGATCCAGCGTTCGACGCGCCGTCTTTTGCTTGAACTCCAGGAGATCTTGCCGTCGAGCGGCGGCGCTTTCGAGCTTCGCTGCGGCTTTCGCCTCCTTCTCCGCCAGGACGAGCCGCATGCAATTCTAAGATAAGACGAATTTAGTTGAGTAGTGTCGTTGGGAGCGCGGTGGGTACAAAAGAGAACCAACCTGACGCGTTGCAACGACGGCACGTTCTACAAAGTACTTGCGCGCGCGGAGCGTGAGCCCGATGGACTTGCGCAGCGACGCTTCTTGGACGGCTTGGGCGCTGGACGTCCGCAGCGTCTCCTCGCGTAATAAGTTTCGCGTGCGCGCCAGTTGACCCTGGGTGCGAAACCAAATCGCAGCCGAGACCTTGTCTGCCTGGCGGAGGGCTCGCTTCTCGTCGGCACGGATGAGGCGAAACGTTGAAAACGCTCGTAATTCCTCCTGGTGAATATGCACTCGAAGACGCGCGGCATCCCCCCGGGCGCGCTCTTCTTCCGCGGCGACTCGAATGGCATCGAACGCCAACGCTCGCCGAATTTCCGCCGACCTGTACAGACACACAAGGACGTGTATGGTGTCGCTAACAACACTGCAGATGAACGAACCGGAGGCGGGCAAACGCGCGCGACGCTACGCATTGCTGGCGAAACACCTGGTCGTGTTCGCGGCGCTCCGTAACTTGTTGAGTATGTAGCCACGTTGCATGCGACGTACGCGCACGCTGATGCGCGAACTCGGTGAGTCGCACCGCCGCCAGAGCTGCTTTTCGGGCACTCAAACGAGCCAAGAGTTGCTGGTTCGAATGCAAGACGTGCTTGACGCGCAGAGCACGAAGGGCCACGAGCTCGGAGAACAGCGGTCGCTCAAACTCTGCGCGTTTCTGTGCCGCTGCCGCCTGATTGTCTTGAATGCGTGCCGCCAGAGCCTCCGCGGCTTCTTGAAGGGCTTCTTGCTGGCGGTGCGCCAATACCTTTGCGTACCAATTCCGAGCAGCAGCGGCCGCCCGTCGCCGCTCGATCCAACTTTCACGGCGCTTGGTCGCTTGGTTCACCTTGTCCAACGCAGCCTCTTTTGCGCGACGTTTGGCGATATGTGCCGCTTGGATTTTCCGCGCTCGGATGTGGTCACGACGGCCGGCAATGCAGTGACGCACCCACGCGACGTTCGCACTTCGACGACGAGATGCTTCGTGGAGACGGGAAGCCAGTTGGTGCGAGACCGCAGACGCCGTCTCGATCGAGACACGGAGACGAGTGCGGGCGACTTGCTGACGGCGAAGGGCAGCTTCTTGCAGTCGTGCCCCACGCTCTTGGAGGATTGCGTCCCGGCGGAGAGCGGCAGCTTGCTGAGCCGCGGCACTTCGGAGAGCTTGGTTGAGCCATTGCGCATCAAAGAGACGGAACGCACAGCCAGCTCGAAAGTGAACACTTACGTTGTGTCGTCTATTGGGTCAAGGTTAGACTCGTGCGAATTGGGGGAATTATCGACCTGGCGCGGCTTTGCACCGACTCCAAATGCGCGTCGCGGCGGGCGATCGCGGCATCCATGGCCATATCCAAGCGCTCCGCTTCACGCCGCTCCATGTACCGGTTCGTCAAGTACACGGATTTAACATAGTTGCTGTGACGTCCGGCAATGAGGCGCCGTTTGTCCAAGTGAATCGTCCGGCGGACTTCGGCTCGAGCAAGTCTCGCTTCCAGGTCATGCATGGCGACCACCTAGGTGTCCCAGAGTTAGCTCTGAGTTTGAACCATGTCGAAATTGGCTACACACCTCGTAATGCCCTAGCATTGCCGCGGCGTCGGCACTGATGGCTTTGGCCCGATCTGCTTGAGCCCCCGCGCGGAGTTGCCTCTTTGTCAGAAACTCGCCGCGTGCGACGCTTGCGGCAGCTACTCGCTGGCGAGACAATTCTCCAAGTGTGCCAAAGTCGTCGCCGTCGAACGTTTCGTTGGACTGAATGACAGATCGCGTTGGAAGGCGCCGGGCGAGCAAGTAGTTGTCCCGACGCGTCGACGCGTCTTCTTGTTTGACGTCCCAGGATGCCCGTTGTCCCTTGACACGTGCCACTTTAGCATCTTGGCGGCGAAGGGCAACGAGCTCAACGAGCTGATTGTGATATCGAGCTTTGGTTTGGCGGGCTTTCACAACGTCAGCTGCCGCGCGTCCTGCAATCGGCACCTTGTCTTGTCCGTCATAACGACGTGAAAACGCTTGAAAATGTTTTGGCGCGATGTCAGCGAGAGCTTGCGGCCATTCGGTCGCGGGTTGTTGGTTGTGGGACGTGCGACTTGATAGTCCGAAAGGCACGATCCATGCAGCGGCAATAGCACGCGTCGTGTCCACTGGAAGGGGATGGTCGGCAAGGAACTGCGCGGCATCCTGGAGTCCTTCATCCAGCGTCACTTGGACGTCCTCATGGTCGAGTTGCGCGTCAACTAGAGCCACCTTGACCTCGTCCAATGTCACGGGAGTTCCGCATACGTCGTTTGTCCATGAGGAATCGACTGGAGGAGCTTCGTTTTCTTCCTGATTGTTGTCTGCTTTAATCTCGAGTTTTTTCGCAGTACAGAACGACTCTTGTTGATTCTTCTCCTGAATGTCGCCGGTGTCCTCATGGGGCTGCGGATCGTTCTCGTCGTCGACGCTTGACGCCACGTCGATGGCATTGCGTACTTCCTCCGACTTAGCCGCACGGCCCGAGAGCACGGACGGCGCCGAGGATCGGCGCGCAAAGGCGGCTGTTGTCGGTAGCATCGCGCGGAGCCTCGTCAAATGCGCCAGCGAAACGAAAAGTGGTAACGGACGGCGTCTCGACGCGACTGCTCGGACACGTCGGTTACGTGAAAACGCGTTTTTCTTCTGTCGAGGCAGCAAAACCCTGTTAAAAACGCGCTTAAATCCCCCTCGACCTATTCAACCCGTCTATCGTCACTACGCTAAAAACGGCACCTGAACTTGAGGTCGTTAATCGGACCCAAAGACATTGGTACTACGAATAGACGTCCGCCCGAGCTACTTCAGTGGTACCGAACCCTAAAGACGCGTACAACCCAAGGATGCAGCAACTGTGCCAACACGTGCTCGTTGACGCCGCACCAGCATTCTACTTTGAGATGGACTTTCTACCAATGACACGGAGGTGTAACTGGCATTCCAACGTAACCGATTCGGGTTGAAACCCAAGCGGTACAAGCCGTCGATGCGATCCATGGCCAACGGAACTTTGCTAAGTGCCTTCCACGCATTGTTGCTGTCGCTGAAGATAGAGAAGTCCACAAATACATTAATGTCTCGCTTCCTGTCACGCCCTGGAGTACTACTGGACGTTATTTCACAAATTCCCCGCAAACAGGGTCTCAGCGAGGACAGCTGCATCTTGCTCAATCACTTCCCCAGAAGGCTTCGTCTCGTAGCGACTACGCCGCCTACCTCGTGCTTGAGCCCAATGAAGGGAGGCGCCTGGAGGGGTCGCACTGTCAAGGTCGCTAACCCTTCCGAACTTGAAACTTGGAAACCATAATGGCCAATCAGGGATCGCAGAATCGAAGAGTGTTTGTATATAATAATAATACAATGGAGTTTAAATGGTGTCAAGACAAGATGTATTGAATTGAGTAATCTAACGGCTCCGTATTTATAAAAATGCGAGACACGTGATGATTCTATTACAATGACCTCGGAGACAAATCTTTCTCTGGAGAGCGCGCACGTCCAGCACCCCGTCATGACGTCTCCGCACTCGTCCAGCAACCTCTGCGTCACCACGGCGGCATCGTACCCGGAGCCGAGGTGGGTTGAGCGCGGAGCCTCCTTTCTCCGACGCATCAATCTTGAACGTGTTGCGGAGGATCCTCGCTTGAAATTGTTGATCACTGGGCAGCACCCCCCAGAAACTGGTCTCCTCTCTCCGCATTCTCTTCATCCGCTGAATGATGAACTACCTGTTATGCTTGCAAGTTCATCGCCGCCACAACTGGGAGGACCTGCGTCGTGGCCGCGATCCCTGAAGGAATCCATTCAAAACACGTTTTTCAACAAGAATCACGAAGAACCCCTGCTGCACTTGTCTCCTCGAATGGCTGTGCTTGCACCGCACTTCATGCACACAATCCTCAAACTCTTTGCTGCCAAGATATCGACAAACTCGTGGAGCGACGCCCAGCAAGCGATGGCGACGTTGGACTCTGCGATTGCCGCGCGATTCGCCGACAAGGCATGTGTCCTCGACTGCGGTCTCTTGGACGCGATTCAGAAAACACATCAAAAAGGTTTGGTGCCTGACACGTTTGCAGGTACATTTCATCTCGCGTGCATGTACATCGTGTCACGAATTTTCTTCCTCACGGCAAGGTGGCCGCGTGACGTCGCTGCCCTTCAAACGAGGCGCTGTGCCAACGATGCATGCCATGTTCGTCGCGACCTCGACTGTGTCGTCGTGGCTGGCCCTGCATGAATCGCATGTCGTGATCATTCTCGCGCCTAATATCGAGCAAATGAGTCTCTATCTGGCATGTGCTGCCATTTATCGTGCTCCGTTCTCGTCCGACTTGGTGCCTTACGGAGAACGGATCCTGCAATGGTATATCCATCACTTTTTCGTTTCTCCAATTATGCCGAGAAGTATTTTTCCAGCCCATCCTTGCTGTCTGATGCGCCTTGCCATTCCTAGGCTAGCTGAGAACGTCGATGCAGCGGAATCGCTGGCCCTCCGCCTCTCCAAGACGTTCGCCGACTCTGACACTCGAAACACAATGTATATCCCAGGCCTTCCTCGACCACAGCTTCGATTCCTCCAAGACTTTGCAGCGCTGCTCGTCCTTCGAGACAAGCAGCTCATGGCATCGGTAACATATCATTTGGCGTGCACTGGATGCACCACGCGGCGACGTGCATGGCAACTCAATTTACAGCGATTCTAACGGCAGCTTTGGCAGGTTGTGCATGAGACGCCGACTCGATCGACGCTCAGTGGTGCCGCGGTCCTGCCGGCGCTGCACCCGTTATACATCCACCAGCTCGTCCTTCTCCCGACTCCAAATGCCAATGTGCGTTGTGGTTGGTTGTGGAATGAATTCATGTGGGATGGTGTAGAATCGATACCTGCCCGACAACTGCTACCGCCCGTACTTTGTCCTACAGGATGAACAAGGGTCAGTAAACTAACCAGAATTTTCAACGCGGCGACAATTGCTTCGGCTTGCGCTTGGCATGGCTGCATGATAACGTTGGAATGACTAGGCATGTGTTGTACTCGAGCATGGTCCTCGGCATCCGCAGCATCCTTCCCGTAGACGGACCGCACGCGTTCAAGGTACCATTCGTGGAAAATGAAGACATTGCCACGCGTGTCTGAGCTTTTTGCATGAACTAGGTGGGCCGGGAAGTTCGCACGGGCGACCTCCACTTGCACATGTACCACGTGCCTGTGAACAGCCGCGGTCAAATCGTGATGGAAACGCGCCTCAACTGCAGTTTGCTCTTTGAGCACTTGCAAGGCCGTGGCAAAGGCGAGGCATGCCACCCAGTGGTGCGATAAAGTCGTCCTCACGTCTGTGGTAGCTCACGCTGCGGATGAAAGACGGTGATTTGGACTGCGTGTCGAAATTGTACACGCCGCACTCTGATTTCGCCCTTCAGGTCAGCCGTTCCCACGACCAATGCTTTTGTGCGATCTTTTTCGTGGCATGCCGTGCTCAAGGTGCTGGGTTGTAGGTGGTCTACGGTGTGGACGGTCAAACGTTTGCAAGCGAACTGGCCGACGAAAACGCGGCTGCCTTGGACGACGCTCCAGCGGCTCGAGGACGCCAGCCCAGCCTCACGAATAACGTTGTCCTGGCGATTCCCCGAGCCAATGTGCGGGTACGGCTCTGGGAAAAAGGAATGACTGATGGAAGTGAATCGATCGACCAGCGACAATTGGTGCCCGAGGAAGCGCTGATCTTGGCGAGTTTCACAGTGACCGACGATGTCGTGTACTCGTCGGTGGGCGACGTCCATCTGAAGCAAGTGGACGTGTGCCAGCGCGGCGCGTCCGTGTACCTCCAGTTTCACGTCCAATGCGGGGACGGCCAGCTTCGCGTGCTGACGACCAACCAATTGTTTGGGTACACATTGCCTGCGCCCGTCATTGCCAAGCTGAACGAAGTCGGTGCCCTCGAACTCGTGGCGCAAATGCCGCAGTTCGATCCGTCGATCGCAGCCGACTCGTTCGAAGAGCAGTACGGGCTGTGGCTCCAACGCCAGTTCGACGACGACATTTCGCGCCTCTCGACGCAAATTCGCATTGGAACGACCCCCACGGACATCGAGAACCTCGTGGCACAACACGGTAGGTCCAAGAAATGCTACCGACGCTCGCGTCGTGTTGGAGGTTTGCGTCCACCGTGTTTGTGTGGTGCATGAGGTCGTCGAGGGGGGGTGGGTGCTCACGTGCGACGACGGTTGTAGGAGAACTCGGCCTGGTGATGCTAGCCAACCAACTGCAGCAGGCAGAACTGAACACGTACGTAGCTCACAAATTCGATTGTGTGGTTGGCGGTGTTGACCCAATATTTGTGGCGGGCCTAGGCGGGGGGCGTCCATGCGTCTGATAGCGCAGCTGCCGACGCGGGTGTTCGATGAGTCGAGTGGAAAGGCGGACGTCGAGTGCCTCGTATGTCGGTACGACTTTGCCACGGGCGATGAAATCCGCACGCTGCCGTGCTTTCACACGTATCACTCCAACTGCATCGACCCGTGGCTCCGCATGAACAAGGTGTGTCCGGTCTGCCAAGTCTCGATCGAGCTGCATCTGGAATCGCACGGCGAATAATGTACCGTCGCCTCCAATATATCACATATATATCCATCCACACATCTACCCTGGGCTATGACTCCATCGAGATGAGGGCACCATCTGAACTCGATGGACTGTTCGACATTCGTGCGCTTTGTCGCCAAGAGGACGTGCCGATGGTCGGGCGGACATGCTTTGGAATATCTTGGTGGTATCGGTCGTCGGGTTGAATTCGTGGGTTTCCGTGGCACGGACGTCGCTCCGTCGTGTTCACCTGTCCATCCCCCTGCATCGTCCATTGTGTCGCATGGAATTCGCCTGGTTTTAATGGACGCGAACGATCGAGTGCGGCGCTGCCAGACATTCCCGACTGCCGTCGCAATGTGCAATCGACGACTCGAACGACCTACATTCCACGACCATCACCATCTTTTTTTTTTCCTTCGCTTTAAGGGACAACCATTTGGATATTTTTGCGATCTCGACGATGTTGACTAACCTGGACGACGGCAGCATGCGCGTCGTGGCTGGACCGATGGACGAGCGCTCGATCGAGGAGCTCAAGCGAATCAACAGTGATATGCACAGGTCCAAGCAAGAGGCCGCGAACTACCGCGAACTCTTTCGTGTGGGGAACCCGGTGGGGGTGTACGTGTCGGGGTGCCCGGCACTCATTCTGGCCGTGATTGAAACCAAGGTGTTCACGTGGGAAGTGTGGAAGGAACTGTGTCTGCTCCTCGTCAACGATATCGAGAGCACTGGAACGCCTCCATTCGAACCCCCTGCTGCGGCAGACGACGACGACGTAGAACCATCGAATGTCCTCGAATCCGCCTTGATCAAGGTCACCTTCATCAACGATCAGCCTGGATTCTGCGGCAAGTTCATTCTGGGGCACTGCATTTCGTACTAGCGTCCCTGTAATACCCATAACATTTTGAATTTCATCAATGTGATGTCGCGTCATGCCATCGTCGCGATCACGACATCCGCGACACAAACGCAACTCGTCCAAGGGCCATGACGCGCATTGGTGCATTCCACCCTTCGACATGAGAAGAACAGTCGCAATGTTGAAATGAATTGCGCTGTTCGACGGACGTACACACATCTACGATGTCGTGTGGCGGAATTTTGGACTGCGCTGCCGTGATGGTACCTCGTTAGACCAACATCGTCCAGTTCATGGACACATGCCACGGGAATGGCGATGGTGTAGGCCAAGAGACCCGGTAGGAAGCCTTTCAGACCCAACGAAGAATTGATCCTTCGAATGGGCAGTTCATCTCAGCCATCCATGTTGTGGCTCGCTCGAGTGACAGCTCCCACTTCCGTCGCTTCGAGCTCAACTTATAGCTTCATTAAGGGGTATAGTGGTGGCAAAAGGCGCTAGTGGCCTCCTTCGTACGTCGTTTGAATGAAACCGAGCGCAAGGCCGAGGACGCCGCCCATGAGAACCAGCTTCCACTCGTCCTCTTCAAATACGGGGTGCAGCAGCCGCTCAAAGTCGTGGTAGGTGAGCTCGCCGATCTTTTCTCGGAGTGTGTTGTTCAAGTCCAGCGCAACCATCGTATACGTTTCAATGTGGCGCAAGCTGTCGGGAAATTTTTGGACGACGAGGTCCGTGATGTCGTCTTTGATCGACTCAAACGTGTCTTTGCCAATCCCGATCGACACGATGCGGTCCGCGACGGCTGCGCCAGAGTTTACGGCCTGCTGAACGTTGGCGTAGACAAGCTCAAAGAGGCGGTCGCTCGCCGGCCCCTTCAGGATCGCTTCGATGATGTTGTGCGCATTCAAAACATCGCGCGACACCATTTCGCCGTACATAGCCGCGACTTGCTGCTGGCGCCGGAGAAACAATCCGTGCAGCTTGATACATAGAAACTTTTTTGGATTGACCGGTTCAAAGATCATCTTGAGCGCGAGCCAGTTGGTCAGGGTCCCCACGAGCAGCCCAAAGACGGGAAACGTCACGTACTTGGTCAGCGTCGGCCACACCAAGTAGAGGCCCATCTGGAGAAGCCCAAAGATGAACCCCATCGTCGCGCCAGAGTCCCGGATGAACGCGAGCTCTTGGTATCCGCAATTTACAAACATATTGACGAGGAGCTGCTTGTCCTTCATCATGTTGGACACGACCATGTCTTCCAAATCAAAAACTTCATCAATGTGGTCCTTGATCTCGACCATGAGCGCCTCGATGTGCACGGGGGCGTCCTCTTTCACCTTTTCGACGATCTCGTCTTTCACGGACGTCGGGAGCACGCGCCACAAACTCGGGTTGTACTTTTGGGCCATCGTCTCGACAATGTCCTTGATCGTGTTGAACAGGATCGGTTCGAGTTCCTTCACGACTTGCGATGGATCGATGCGGCTAAAGACTTCGCGGACGTCCAGGAGCTGCGACGTCATGATGCGCACGGACATCCGTGCCATCTTCTCGCCCTTGAACGGAACGATGCCCTGCCACCCACATACACCCATGTTCGTCCCAGGGAACTGCATGATGCCGACGTACTCGAGGGGATAAAACGTCATGTACAGCGCCAGCCAGATATGGACGTACGTAAACACGACACTGATGAGGGGAATCGATGCGACCGTCAAAATTCGCTTCGAGTCCCATTCGTGTTTGGCGAGGTAGTCCTTGAACACCACAAAGACCAGGACAGCTCCCACGGCCAGCAACAGTACAAATACAATCACGATCCAGTTGGGACGCGCAAGCATCGGTGGGAAGTCACATGGAGGGGTGCTCGATGTGCTCTTCTTCTTGTTCTTTCGTGACGCCGTCGGCGATCCAGCGGCTACGTAGTTTGGTTCCAACGAGAGAAACGTTGACGAGTCGCCACGCCCGCTTGTTCCAACACCACCTGTGGCGACCTGGTGCATCCCGATAAGCGTGTATCGTAAACTCGACGCTAGCGCCGACGGTTGGACGCGGACCCAATGCGGCTCTGTGAGGTCCAGCAATTGCCGACCGGAAAACGACTTGAGCTGGGCGACGAGCGGCGCGTACCTTCCTTCCTCGAAGGATGTCATCCACTTTACCACTTGGCTCGGACTCCACAGCGCAGGGTCGCCGCCTCGTCCTCCTGGCGCGGCCATGGACGTGTATGTAATTGCAAGTGGACCCATCGCGATCAATATCCAAACCAGCACCGAGTGAGTCGAGTAAAGTGCGATTTCTTGGGCGGCACTATATAAATCGCAAGATATCGGTAAATGCGCACCTAAACGGACTTCGTATTCTCTTCAAGCTGTCAGACCATTATACAAAAATCCATATCATTGGCCTTGGATGACGTCGACCTAATTAAGTCCGATTTGTGTGCCGCGACATCGTGGAATTCCTTCGACCTCATGTCAACTCTTGCGGATGTCTCAAGTAAGTCGAAGCGCAACGGAATGCGGAGCGATGCAGATCTGGACGTGCATGCAGTGCTTGTAGACGAAATGGAGGAAGGGGACGATGATATCCCGACGGCATCGACGGGGGTCACGTTTACTTTGATGACGTACAACGTTCTCGCTCAGTGCTACGTCAAGTCGAGTTTCTTTCCGTACTGCGACCCGAAAGCGTTGCGGTGGAAGCGGCGGTCCGCCATGCTCGTACGTGTATCGACGATAGCATTTGTACGGTCATCGTCATGTCGTTCGATGATCTAGATTGGCCAGATCAAAGCATTCAGTCCTCGACCAGACATCCTCTGCTTGCAAGTACGTCCAGGAGCCATGTACAACATGCAATCCATCCTGTCATCGCGCTCGCATGGCGTCACGACAACTTGGTAGGAGTGTGATCAGTACGACACGTTCTGGCAAAGTCAAATGGCTGCCATCGGCTACACCAGGTCCGTCGTCTACGTCGTCGACGAATCCCGCCGTCGGCTCAATGCATTGATTTCAGCTTGTACCTGAAGAAAACGGGGACCAAGAAGGACGGTGTTGGGCTGTTCTGGCGGCCTGAAAAGTACGCCACACCCTTCCACTACCGTTGTCTCTATTTCATCGACATTGATACAGGTTCACTGTCCTGGGCGGCGAAAACGTCGCGTTGAACGAGGCATTGCACTCTGTCACAGGTATGCTCCTCACTTGAGTCGTCGCCGTGGTTTTTCACGTTTGAACCTCCTTCCATCTCGTTGCTTATCGTCGTAGACAAAGACCTTCGGGGACGTGTCATCCGGGACAACGTCGGCCTCGTCGCTCATTTCCAATCCATCGAGAACCCCGCGACGGAGTTTGTCGTTGCGTCCACGCATTTGTTTTGGGACCCCGCGCAAGCGGACGTCAAGTTGGTCCAGGCCAAGCACATGCTCGATAGCATTGACGCGTTCGTCGCGACGTCGTTGCCGGCTGCATCCGTTCCGGTCTTCTTTGCGGGCGACTTCAACTCCCTCCCAGACAGCGCCGTGGTCCGTCATGTCTTGAGTCGTGGCTTTGCAAGCGCCTACAGCACTTACAATGCCGAGACGGGCGAGCCGCGTTTCACCAACGTGAACGGGGTCGTGCACAAGATGAACGAGAATGGTCATGTTGTGGGCACTGAGCCCGCTTTCGTGGGGACGCTCGACTACATTTTCTACCACAAGTCCAAGGTCAAAGTGCAGGAGCTCCTACCGCTCATGGACTACGAGACGGCCGTTAGAGATGGCGGCGCGCTGCCAAACCGATCTGTTGGATCGGACCACTTGCCCCTCATGGCTACATTTGTGTTCAAATAGAAGCGATCGGTCATGCGGTGTTTGCCAAGCAGCTGCATCTGACAATGGTCATCGCACAAGGTTAATCTTAGACATTCTTGTGTACAACGAGTGCGATGGACTTGTGAGTGATTCCATGGCGTTGAACGGCATGGGTCCTTCATTCCGTGGACGTTGGGTGCATCACTCATGGCAAATGATCGAACGGAGATGCAATTACATTGGAGTAGATAAAATTTCGCTCAACCGCGGCGTCGATGGCGACGAAAGCTCGTCTACAACACATCGTCATCGATCAGTGTGGCTCAAAATAGACCGGTGAGACATCGGCATACCATTTCTTCATCGTCGTCGCCGCTCGCAGGTTTCTTGGAGATGAGAGCACAAGCGTCCTACAACAGTACATAGATTTACCACAGGCGCTTGTCCTGCTCCTTACGTCAAGGTCCGAGGTGTTTTCAATCACAGCTTTGACCCTACTTGACCTACACAAGGTTTTTTCGTCAACAATGCACTTTTAGCTTACGATTTTGGCAGTGAACGCCGACCCACCTTCGCGGCGAAGGAGTGACTGGCTTCGGTTGTTTAGCCGATCTGCACTTAGGTGCTGCAAGGTCTCCCGCTAGTCGGCGTTTCTTCATCTTTGTGGTTTTGTCGTCGTTGTCATTGTGTTTTTCGACTGAGTCATCATCGCTACTTTCCTCTTTGGAGACATCAACTGACAAAGACGATGTGGCACTCGCCCTGCATACAAAAAGACATTTCTGTTGGTGACGACTGCATGTGCTGTCAACAGGTTATACCTGCGGCTGGTGCGTGCAGCTGGCATGGACTCTGAGGATTGCGACTTCCTACAAAAATCAGAGCGAGTGCATGAGAGCCATGTTGAAAGGAAAGGCATAGCACGAAGTAAGTCGTACTGAGCAATCTCAATGGCACTAGCCTCGTCAGTGAACAAGACTTGTGTTGCGTCCCCGTTCGACTTGGTCTCGTCATCGGATACCGCTTCATTAACCGACTTTGTTTCGTCGTCATCATCGGCAATATTCAAGACAGCCTTTTCAAGGGATTTGAGAGTAGCCTATAAGATGAACCGATGAGACGGTTCAATGAACACACATTGTACGAATTCCTTCATAGGGTAACTAAACACCCCGATGATGGCCGCGCAATAGAGATCGTACAGATCGAGCTTGAGGAGTCTGGCGGTGTTGTCTGGGACTTGCTTCGTGCTCGTCCTCGTCAACGTCGCTGTCTTGATCCGCCAAACTTACATCTGAGCACTTTGCGTTTCGGGCCGGCATTCTACAACACATACATCCAGTCCGCGAGTGCTCGAGTCTCGATGAAAAGTACCGTCGGGTGGGGGTCACGACGGGGGATTTACTGGCCTTGGGAGAAGCCGTCACTTTTATTTTTTTGGGTACTTTGTCCGTCTTGATCGCACTAGGTCGTTTTCTTTTCACGCGCTCGTCGTCGACACTGTCGTTTCCGTCATCCTCATCATGTACTTTTAAACCACCTGTGGTGGTTCGACCTATTGGCTTCGGGCTAGCCGTCTTTCCGGGTTGAAAAAGTTGCTTTGGCAAATAAATTTGACCCGGGTATGCCTTGAGGTTGATTTGGTTCTTGATTCGTTTTTTCAACCACGCCGTGGCTGCATCAATGAGCTGGTACAAGTCCTTCGCACTTTCGTCCTTCTCCGTCGTCGCGTCGTGGCACAAGGATAGTTTATGCAACATTTGCAGTAAGAACGAAATGTTGTCGGCTTCGGATGCCACATGCGACACAAGCGATTCGAGCAAAAAGAAAACCGATTCAACGTCTTCGGTGCTCTCGCCTTCCCAAGGCGCATGAAGCACAAGATGGATAACGTAGGGAATCACATATTCTGGCACCATGAGAGAGCAGGCCGGGTTGTCTGCATTAGACCGAGCTGCCTCATACATGTGACGCATGCGCTGGACCGCGGATTGAAGCAGCGTTCGTGCTTCCTTCTTCAGCTCGGCCACAGGTTCAGACGACGCGAGCGCCAAGTACGACACGTATTTGTGATTGAGTGCAGGATGACGGAGCAAGTTGGCCGTCAATTTTTTCAGAAACGCGCGGCGGACGCTCTCATCTGAGTCAACCATTACGTACCCCAACGTGTGCCATTCGTCAATCCGGAACTGACGTTCCAACCGAGCAACTCGTGTGAGTTTCAGAAGGTTCGTGGCGGCTACGGTGCGGAACGGCGTGGTGGCTTTTGTCGTCGACGTCTGCAGCAAGTGGAAGCTAAGGTCGAGAACATGCCGGCAGTGAGTCGGGGAGTCCGATGCATCGTCTTCACGTGGATCTGGCACGTGGTGATACAAAACCAAGTGGCACAGCAACGATAAGGCAAGGCATTTCGTCTCTCCTTTCTTCGCAGGCGTATCAAATAACCCCACGACGAGCTCAAACAGCGCAACGGCGTCAGGAACGACGTTGGGAACGTGTTTGGTAAACACGACAAGCGTTTGCAATGCCCCGTCCGACAACTCGGCCGATGGCAGGAGCAATTTCTTGGTAAACTTGCCAACTTCGCCGGGAAAGAGCTTGACTAGAATCCGCGCACACTTTTTGACCACATCCAGCGAATCGCTCTTCGTACAATGCTTCAATAAGGCAGTCTTGAGCGACTGTGGAGGTGCAGCCGCAACATTATCGTGCTTGGCGTACGACACGAGCAAGTCCAACAGACACGTCTGAACAAGGTGTTGCGACGATGATGGTGACGTGTGGACGAGCAACTCGTCCACCGTTTCGATGTGGCTGGTTAATAAGTGCGGAAATATGGTCCCAATCAAATGGAGCACTTCGGCACATGCTTTGGACGGGTCATCCTTCAAGATCTCCAACAAACAGCCCACGCTTGACGCGTTCACAGTGGTCATGGCGAGCTTACGGCAAATATTCTTCATAAAGTCGCCTAGGGGAGTCTTGGACCCGGTCATTTTGACAAGGTCTTCCCGGGCTTGGCGGATAATGGTTGAGTCTGACGTCGCTGAGCACATGACCTCCAGATGCTTGACGAGCTTCATATCCTTCCAAGTCGCGAGTTTCTCCACCAGACCAGACAAACCTTCCGTTTCCGGTAGCAATGGTTGGATTTCCTTCAAACTTCGTTGCAACGTCGATCTATTTGTCGCGTCGGAAGTTTTCTCTTGCCGGAACTGCTGCTTGAGGGCAACGAATTGCTGGATGATCTTGCGACATTGCATGCGTTCGAGAAACACTCGTCGCAGAGCTTCACGACTCCCACCGTCCAAGTGCTTCCAGATGAAGAGCAACCCTTTCATCCGAAACAATTCAGTCGATTGCTTGGGCAGTAAAATGTCATCGATGAGCTGAACGACGCGAAGGCGAAGTTCTTGTGTAGGATACGCAAAGCACTTGAGCACATAGTCGGGGATCCAGCTAAGCTGATGCGCCACGTGGGACAACTCTTTGCTTCCAGTAGTCCACGATATTGACACATGAGCAGCATAAATTTGCGCGAGGCCGGTCATGGCTTCCTTGCGAATCACGACCTTCTTGTCCTTCATGCGCTCACCCACCTCGCGTAGACTTGCCGTCGACACACTTGAGAGGGAATGCGTTGCCAAATCGCAGATTTCGTTAACTACGAGACGTCGAACGTCCCATTCAGGGTCTTGGAGTCGCAATTGCAGCTCTGCGTCGATAAGGGGCGCGAGGTCGGGCTTGCGCTGAGCCACGATTGAGCACACAGTGATCATTTGGAGGCGTATCTCTTTCTTGACGTCGCGGAACCGTCCGAGGAATTCGCGAAAATTCTTGAGGTACTGCGCGCCATAGTCGGCGTGTGAACTGGCAAAGAGTCGCCCCATAAGCGCGATGGCGTTCGACCGCGTCTCCATGTCGTCGACGTGGAGTTGCAAACAAACGTTCGGAAGCACGTATAGCAAGAGACTTGGCTGAATTTTGTGGGTCTCATATATCAGCGAGTGGACGTGGTCTTTCAAGTCGGACGTCATGGGTACGTGGGCAGTGGACGCATCCACAAGCACGCTGTTGAAGAATAAATTGAGCGCGTTTTGCAAATGATCACTGGCCTTTTCAATGACTTGTTGCGCCATGTGATACGCGCGGGGATTTTGGTCCCCATGCAGAAGTGGCTCCAGTAATGTCTCAAGGAGTGCGGGACTCACCACGTCACATTCCTCGAGACAGCCCACCATGATACTGACCATATTGGCTTCAACTTTAGCGGAGTGATCGTCCTGAATACGTTCAAACAAACACCGGAAAATGTCGATGACGAGAGAGTCGGGGTGGTGGTCATCGTCTATGCTGGCATGCCCTCCGTCGGGGATGAGACCCACGGCAAGGTTGCACATCTTCACAGATGCCAAAGTCTCTAGCAAAGTGAACCACGCAATATCGTTGTTCTTCGTCGTTTCGCGCAGCACACGCACGAGCAACACGAACACTTCGTACAATTCGTGATCTGAAAACGGGGTCTCAGGGGCTGTCACACGAAGAAGCTCGGTCACACATGACGCCACTAAAAGCCGTATATGTGGATCCGAGTGTTCCAGATACGATTCGGACGTGAACTCGCGCCCCAGCGCCGTCGACTCGGACTTGTCGAGTTCGCTGTTTGAGATATCTCGTAGTCGCTGGAGTTCCGTCTTCAAGCGGCGGGCCACGTTGACGGGTGTATGCTTCTCGGAGGCTTGCTGCACTTCAGTCGTTGCAGATGCCGCCTTGGCCTTCCCTTTTGCGACGTCCTTTCCTCCGTCATGATGCGGTTTGGCGCGCGCCATCTCCCGAAATTATCGCTTTGGCGGGTATTCTCGAGATGAGCTAAACGGATGAACGAATTTTTTATCCGGACGACAAATTCAGCTCAATTTCTTTTTATGGTGCTTCAACCTTCTTCGGAATTGAAATCGTCGTTGACGACGACAGTGAGATACCCTGCGTGGGCAAGGAAGTGCAGGGCTACCAAAAGTTCCCGCGTCTCGCTCTTCTTCTTCGACAAAGCCGCGAGCTCCTTGGATGCATCGAGCATTGTGCGCAGCGAAAATGGAGTCGCCGAGGGAGCTTGGACGATCATGTCAATCAGTTTGGCCTGCAACGGACTGCACTGAAATTCGAGGCGAAGCGACGACATGTAGCTTGTGTGGCCAAACCCAACGTTTAAAATGTACACGAGGTCGTCGGCGGCATATCCCGTGTCGTAATGGATCGATGGGATGTCGGCATGGTGCATGACACTTGCCAACGGGTTCAACTTGACTCGCGTCGTCTGTCGGAAAGCAATCGCACTGTCTTCGAGTAGCGCAGGATCGTCAAGCCGTAGCACACGCTTTGTCAGCTTCCCTTCCGCGCCGTCCTTCGTTCGCTCTTCCTTTTCGTCGCCATCGTCATCGTCATCCTCATCGTCACCGTCATCACTGTCGTCGTCGTCGCCACTAATTCCACGTCCATGGATCAACAGGCGCTCAGGTAAAATGTCTGCCGCAGTCAATTTTCCAATTTGATCCTTGAGATCGTTCAACAGATCAGTCATATAGGCACGAGCGGCGTCCGGCGTGTCGTAGCTCACACCTCGTCGCCACCTGTCGGACTGGAGCAGGACATGCCGGAGTGCATCGACCACGATATCTGCGTGGGGGGTGGGAAACATGCTCAAGTTCATCGTGATCGAGTCTTCCGTGCACTCGACGCGGTGCCACATGCCGGCGGGAAAGTACAGCACCGAACCGGGCTCGAGTGTGACCTCAGACACGTTGTCGAACGTCGGATGGTAATCAAAGGCTGGGTCCGTCAGGCGATGGATCTTGAGCTGCTGCTCGACGACCTCCTGGGTCTTGTAGTGTGGCGTGCAGCCGCGGACCGGGTACGGTACGCTGCTCGGCTGCAACTTCCACTTCTTCTTGCCAGCCACTTGGACAGAGAAGTTCTCCATAAAGTCAAAGTGCCTACATACAGGGATCAGGCTCGTCGGATGCGATCGACGACGGATCGAACCAGTCAGTGACATGCCCTGCTTTCGCGCAAAAGATTTCAATCTCCCCCTGCGATTCACCGTGGATCGACGTCGCCGTGAACCCGAAGCCCAGGTCTTTGGCAAGCGCCGGAATCAACGTCGCACTGAGCTCAGGCGATCCACGAAAGTACAGCGAGTGGCCAGCCGCATGCAGAATCGCGGCTGCCTCCACCGACTCGACTTTGACTGACTCAATCTTGCCATCGTCATCGTCCTCGCCGCCGCGCTTGGTCTGTACCCATGCTTGCAATTCCTCCGATGATGTTGTTGTGAGCAGCTGCTTTATGTCCAAGTCTTCTAGGCCCTGGTGGATCAGTTGTTCAAATCGATCGCTTGGCGCGTGAATCGCAAGTGCCTTCTTCTGGTAGAATCCATCCATGAAGGAGTTGGGAGATAGGGGGTACACCAGTGATGCCAAGAGGTTAGTCTCATCCAGTGCAGGGCATTGAGATGTCATCTTATGCACGGTCAACGAGTCCGAAGACGTAGTCTCGGGAGCCATCGGGGCCTTCTTGGTCGTGGTCTGCGGGGACGATTTGCGCTTCTTGGCAACTGCGCAGGGACAACGGTCGCATGAGGCTGAGACAAGCAGATGCACACGTACTGGGAAACGCATCACGCCGCGGTGGTGTGGGTGGGGACAAAAGTTGCCCATATTGGCGTTTTGTTTGCTTTTTGACAGGTCCAGCGGTCGTCGTGATTGTTGATGGCGTGGTATCTGCCGGTTGTCGATCCTCCGTGAGAAGGAGGTCTTTGTGGCGCGACTGGAGATGTGTGGCGCCGTTAGACGAACGATTGCCATACATCGCGATGAGGCAGTCCTCCCATGGTGTGGTACCGTCGTCGGCACACAACACACACACGTACTCGCACACTTTTTTGCGACGGTTCACCTGTGGCACGTCCAATTTGTGCAAGTATTTCCACACAGGAGACGACCGGCCTGAGCGGTACTTGGTTTGAGGCACGTCGCCATGAAACGTTTCCGTCAAAAACTCCGAGTATGCTTCATGCGATGCAAACGACCTGCGATCAAGGGTGTTGAGCGTTGACGAATAGCTGTGTCCGTCCACAGAGAACTTGAAGTGTTCAACCGAAGCGGCTGTAGACATTGGCGAATCCTCACGGTCCGCTGCGGCTGACGCTGGGCGTTCACTGGCAACAGCGGCGTCTTGCTGCGTCGAAGGCGCTGCCATCAACGACAAAGTCACGCAAACTCGAACTGCCATGACCAACTAGAGTTCGTATCCGTACGTTATCCGGAATGCATGGCATGGTATTTACTGAGGGAATGGCGCCAACTTCTGGAGCCATGACCGCATACCAACCACTGTGCCATGCGCGCAACATCCGTGGAAGTTGGCAGTGCGGCCCTGTCCTGGGTAATGTACGTTTTCTGTGTTCATCGAACGCCACGACTTGAACGCTACATTTCAGTTTGAGTCGACCCGCTGCCACGTTTCACGTGGCGGCGTTCCTCGACGCCCTCGATACCAATTCAACACACGCCAACTTGAGGGGTTTGACGTGCCCCGTTGGAGGACAGGTTCTGTACAATCTTCGCCGAGTGGAGAGCGCTCTGAACACGAGCATTGGCGTATGATGCCAAATCGCCACTTCTTGTGGTAGGACGAGTTGCATCAACCGATGCCATGCGAAATACATTGGCAAGTTCACTCACTAAGTCGCAAGGCCTCGCGATGCAATCGAAGTTTCTTGGACCAGCAATCCCCTGCCGTTGGTGTCCCATGCTACTGTGACTACCATGGAGAGAACGGGCTCGGGATTTAGGAACGGAGCTGATCCTAGACACACTCCATTCAAGGCATGGTGTGTTTTCTTGTTTCGCATGTTGCTACATTCTTCTCAATTCATCGCCCATGGCTTTGGAATGGTGTTTGTCCAATTTAGGCGCATGGAGAACGCTGGTCGGGGCTGGCCCAGGCGACTTTGGTACATCACAATCTCCATCGCAGGACTTCCGTCACTCCGACTTTTGTCCACGATGGTGATGTGTCCAAAATGAAGCCCTGTCCAGCTTTGAAATAGCGTTTTGTGCGTGGATTTGACCGAGTGGATCGGGATCACTGGAAACGCTGAGATTGGCGACGCGCCGACCTACAACGTCCAGCAGTTAAAAGAGTGCACGACCGAGACGGTGTCAATCTCGCTCACTTCATAGAGAAAGCTGTACGGTGAGTGCTGCCACACGCCGGCAAAATGCAAGTCCCCAGAGAGCAAAACGACTCCCGACACATTATGCGCCTGGACATAGTCGAATATTTCATGGTACTCGGCGCCATATCGTGCCCATCCTTCGCCCGTCGCTTGGATGCCCATATCGGACACGACCATGGACGAAATAACAACTTTAAAAGGCTCGGTGGATGCTTGGAGCCAGCGAAGCAAGTGTTGTTTCTGCGTGACCCCGAGCTTGGTCTTGGTCGGACCGTCTGGCGCTGCTTTGGGGGAGGCATACTTCCGCTACCGGCACGAAACGTGTCGGCCATTTGAAGGTTTGGAAACAGCAGACTTCAATACGCACCACGTCCAGCATGAAGAAGGCCGCGACACCGGTGCTCCAAGTGTAATAGTGCTCGCCATTCTCAAGGGATTCTGGGTTTCGATTGCCAAAGTACCGAGTGTAGTATTGAATACGGTCGAGGTACAGTGGATCGAGAGGTCCTTCATTCCACTAGGCCACGTAAACGGCACGGAAGTTAGTATACCCGACAGACACACCAGTTGTTGCATCTGTACGTCATTTCGAATTTCATGGTCGTCGTAGATGCTAAAGATGGGCGTGGACATTCCAACCGTGGCGTACTGGTGATCATGAACTGTCGTTCGATACAAGAGCTCGGTATTGTGCGCCAAGTCGACATCGGCATAGATTTGGTCGCCCAGAAGCAGCATGAAGTCGGGTTTGAGCCGCGTAGCAATGTAGTCGAGGTTGCCACTGAACCCTGACCAGGCAATATCAAGATATGACTAGTCTGGAAGCAGGGCAAACCTGTGATGGTATGCAACAACGGGACAGCCATCGTGCACGATCCAAAAGCAAATCGAACGGTGGACATGTAAGTCGCGAGAGTCTTTAACGACAGGGTCGTCGAGCGCAATGTCACGTTGGTGGATTTGTTCACGAACGCAATCGCGACGGTGTAGCGAGTGTCTGCCACGAGATCGCGCAGCGCGATCGTCAAAGTTGGGTCGTTGTCGGAAAAGTCGGCTGTTACCACACCCCACACGTTGTGCTCGGAAGTGTACGACACGCGCGCTTCCGTCGCCGTCAACGAAAAGAGCCACACTGTTGCATGTGATGCCGACACCGAGCCGAGGTGCGCGAGGTCGCTCGAATGGTCTGTACAGATCGGTGATGCCGTGGTAGATTTCTCGGCGTCGTCCTTACCTGACGTAGACGCATGGTACACGACAATTGCCCACGCAATCGCCACGCACGTGCATGCGCTAACAAAGTGCATTTCGTGTGATATGAGCAACATTGCACATCCGGATAAGGATTGGGCAGTCGTGTCTGGCCATTTCCGTACATGTCGCCTGTAGTCATCCAGCTCGGTGCAGAGTCAATTCAGGGGCGACCGACTCGCTTGGAGTTTACCTGGGATGCGCATGACGTTCTTTGAAAGGGGTCCGCTCACGAACGATAAGCTGCAACTGCGCAAGACGACCGCGAATGCCACAAGGTCAGCTCAATCCCATTTTTCCAACACGGATGTCACAAGAATTCATGTCGCATGTAAAAACATGGTGAATTTTTGAATTTTTTTTGAAGATTTCGTTGCAGCAAATGAAGCGGCACGGCGACAGGTCATAAATTGCATCGGCATGGCTGGATTGACGACGTTCCATGAAAAGCTCATCGCCTACCGCGTGTGGGAGTTCGTCGCGTGTTTGGCGGTCACCGGAGCGATCTTTGCCCTCACGGCTTCTTCTGTGTACCGCCGTTCGTGACGACCCACGTCGTTGCGAGCTGTATCGCTGACAAACGTGCATTGTAGGTCCGATTCCGCATCTCGTGATTCCTCTTGACGCCTCGACAACCATCTTCGCCCGCGACCCCAGTCTTGATCTGAAGAAGGAGAAAGAGCAAGGTAACGGAGTCCTCTTGTGCACTCCAACGACACGACGCATCACAGTGTGTGGCATGCAGTCCCGTTAGATGTGGCCATTGCCATCTTCTACGCAACGCCTCTCGTCGTCCACACGATCGTACAATGGCTCCGCTATGTGCGCAACGATTCCCGCGACTTTCTTCTGACGTTGTTCATATCCTCGGCCGTCTGCCAGCTCCTCACGCACTTCGCAAAAGCCATGACGGGCCGCTTCCGCCCATGCTTTTATGACATGTGCAAATGGGACACGACTGTAATATGGGATGGCGTGACGAATTTGTGCCGCGATCCCAAGGGCGAAGCCGAAGGCCGCAAGTCGTTTCCATCGGGACATGCGTCTAGCGCGTTCTCGACGCTCTTTTTGCTCACGGTACAACCATTCTCGTCCGCATGAACTTACACACATGTATGGCCATGGGTGTAGTTGTACCTCCTCGGCCGAAGCAAGCTGCTCTCTGCGTCATCCCTCGCGACACGACGTGGTTTTGTCGCCAGCGCCGCCTTCTTCGTGGCATTTGCGCCGACAATGGTTGCCATGTGGATCGCCATCACACGATCTCAGGACAATTGGCACCACTACTCGGACATCCTGGTACTCACTCATCTTCCTTGCCTCCAATCATGCGCTCAGCATCGGGTGCCAGGCGGGCAGCGTGATCGGAATATGTTCAGCCATCTTGGGCTACAGCGTCAACTACGGTTCGTTGTTCGACTACAAGACCGCTGGCATGCCGCTCGAGACCTTGGAGGAACTGAAGCAGTCGGAATTACCCACCTACAACCATGCGTTTCGCAGGCACGAGAGTGGGACCGCGTCGCCTTCCACTCTACCGTGAAAGATGGCGCAATGGGATGTTTGCCGCTCGAGTAGTTTGGATTTCCTGCAATGTGTGCCCCGACGGCGTTATAAGGACTTAACGATGCCATGTCTCGTTCAGCATCCTAACTCACGTAAAGGTGCCGAGCGCTCTCATGAACCCGTCCTGTTACCTCGGGACTCCTACCATTCTCTCCATGCGGCGACACATGCACTGACAAAGAACAGGCATCGCATCAGTGCGCGCATTGCACTTGGGGGAGGTTTCGCCTGAGGGTATTCGTTATCAAAGGTTTTCCTTGGGAATTTGAAACCTGGCCGCGCGCGAGGAATGGAAGAATGCTATCGATGGCGCCGTGACGACAGGAAAGCCGCATCATCATCGTCCGTCTCCATAGACGCATGGGACTTGGATAGGTACATGATCAACATACATGTCCATAGTTGTCCGCATTGGATTTCCTTGCAGGTTGCGGGCAGTATGTGCCGATCTCAACGTGAAGCTTCGTCGTGAGGTTGAAGCCAAACAACAACTACAGCGGCTCCGCGCTCGCGACAAGGAACGGTTCAAAGAAGAGTTTGGCCAGTTTGAAGCTCGCTTGATTCGTGCGAACGAGACTCTCGAGAAGAACCGACAGATCGTGGAAGCATCGTTGGTTGAGAAAGACAAGATCATTGAGCAACTCCAGCAACAGGTCGACAGGAAGCAGCACACCATCGAATGCCTAAAGCAAGATCCCCGTCTTCTATATTCCAGTCGGCACCGTCAGCGACAGGCTCAGGATCCTTCTTTCGATCACGTTTGTGCTTCATCTCTGCATTCAACGAATTAATCATCAAAACCTCCTCAGCTCGATGGCGATCGAAACGATGACCCAAATGCAAACATCCACGAATTGGAGCGACAGGTAATATGGCTGTCGCCTCATGCTGTCCTGAAGTTTTGCAAACTCTTTGGATTCTAGATCTCCAAGCTGTACGGAGAACTGAATGAAGCACGACAGGTGCAGCAAGCTCAAAACGACCAGATCGAAGGAATGAAAGCAGCGAGTGCCAAGCTCGTGGCGTCGCTGAAGAAGATGAAATTCAAAGTCAAGGAGGCTGCAAATACTGCCGAGAATCACATGGTCCACGACATGACTCGAAAGTGCATGCGACTAGAGGCTGAAAAAGCAACAATCGAAACAACGCTGCAAACGACGCAAGCCAAGGTACGTGTTCGTGATCGCCTACATTGCTCACGACGCCTTGAATGTGTAGTTGGTGGAATGCAAAGCCGTCGTGAAGGACTTGACAGAAAGGTTGACAACCGCCACTGAACGAATCGTTGCTCTGGAAGGTCCGCTTCTGTTCTACCCGTTGGAATGAAACTGAAGTTGGATGCAGGCGACGTCAGCGCCAGAATTGCCGCCGAGGGTGCGATGGAGAAACAATGGCGCAGACAGCAGCACTACATCCAGGATCTCGAAATCGACTTCAAAGTACGATAGCAGCGCTTCATCAGCATTACTCATGGGGACATAGACTATCGGACGAGTAGACGTGAACAACCCCGAGGTGATCGAGACGATCGGATCATACCTTGGAGATGGTGACGCCTTGTTCTCGCGTAGATGGAACATGCGCAACGAACGTTGGCTTCAAAGACAGAGAAGCTCATGAAACTTGAGAAAAGGCTCCAGCGATATGAGCGCGACATTGCCGGACTTCGTGAAACGCAAGGCGATGGTGTCGTCGTTCTGGATCCACAGAGAAAGGCGTTATCCCTCGTCGATCTCGACTACGTCCTTGCGCAGGTACGAATGGCAGTCTCATGACTGCATTCGCCTCATTGTGCCGCGTCAGACCCACAAGATCGAGGCGAAAGCTGACGCAATGTCTCGCATGGTGCAAGTGTACGAAGCAGGGGGGCATCCTCCTGCTGACTTGCACGAGCTGTTGCTTCGCCTGGACGACCATCAAGGCTTGGAAACGTGTGACCGCATAGCATCTGAGCAAGAAGGGAAACAGCGCATCCTGATGTCCTTGATGCAGTCCCAAGCCATCCTCGACGACGTCGCCCACCATCTCGCGCAAGCGTTCGCGCGCTTTCTCGGATTCAAATGTAATATGGAATGAACACGAGAACGCAGTCTTAATTTAATTCGAAAATTGTATTGTATGTTTGTATGCCAATTGATCATTTCAATTGTAGAGCGATCGAGGTCAAACCTCAATCATTCTCATTTCTCAATTTCTTTGGCGGAGCAATATACGATGGAGGGGGAACAAGGCCACCGCGTCTGACAGCTACGTCTAGGCGTTCTTCGAAGGCACAAACGTGGAAGAAGCATGAAACTTCGAGGCGCAGTCAGAAGCGCTCAAAAGAAATCGTCGACGAGAGCATTGCTGCTTGCCGCCGAGTTGCTCTTGCTCCAAAGCGGACGGGCGGCGCGTCGTCGACGACATGCCATGCTTGGCCCCAAGTTCCTCGAGCTCGTCGAACGAGTACACTCTGAGGCCGGCTGCTTCCGCCGCTGCCTTGTCGGCTGGTTCCATGGCGTCTGAATCGACGATCTCGAGCGCTTTGAGCGTGTGGGCAACCATCGTCGTCACTTTGTCGGCACACAACTGTCGACGCCAGCGTTTGGTTTAGAACGGATGCGGTTGAGTTTTCGCCGAGCGTGTCGTGCAGAGCGACGGACGCACACGTACGCTGCGCCC